TAAAAAAAATAACAGAATATAAAAAACAACTAAATATATAAAAAAAATAATGGAGAATATATAAAAAAAACCAACTAAATATATAAAAAAATAACTGAATATAAAAAATAAAATGTATAAAAAAAAAAAACAGAATATAAAAAATAACAAAATGTATAAAAAAAATAACAGAATATAAAAAAATAACAAAATGTATAAAAAAAATAACAGAATATAAAATATAAAAAATAACAAAATATATATAAAAAAATAACAGAATATAAAAAATAACAAAATATATATAAAAATAACAGAATATAAAAAATAACAAAATATATATAAAGAAATACCAGCAATAAAGTTCTAAACAGGTCAGGTTATACATGTGTGAAATGTTTTAATGTGAAAACAAAGTGTTTATAATAAATTTTATTGTCCTGTGTGTAGAAAGGGGAGGAGCTGAAAAGTTTGATAGCTGCAGGAAGGAAGGACTTCCTGTGTTCTGTGGAGCTCCTCCGTGCTCAGGTCTACGACTGAAGGGGCTGTCATTCCCCGATCTGTAGTGCACGTCCACGTCGCACGGATCGCGCTCGTTTATGAATAAAAATTTATAAATTTACTTAGAAAAGTATGTGCTCCATCTCCACCAACCTTCAAATTTACGCCACTCGTCTCTCTGTTACAAATCACTGGTTAAGATGATCTGCGACGCATTAGCGCTGACCCCCCCACCCCCAGCCTGGGCTGAATGAGGAAAAGCCTGCGAGATACAGAATGAATAATTTTTATGGTGGAACGGCGCCGCTCGTGGTGAAGCTGCAGATCATGTGAACCATGACGTCAACATGTAACAGAGATGGAGTGGAGTGAATGAGCAACATGAAAATCAGCAGAGATGGAGCACAAACTTTTCTAATTAGGACGGTTCTTACTCATAAACTGAATTATACTGGTGCATTTTCTGCTGAAGAGGATTATTATTTAATGTCTAAGAAAACAAACTTTAATTTATGTAAATAGTTTAATTTTGAGACGTTTATTTTGTACAGTTAATAAAAGTGCCTGTGTGACAACTGGGACAAAGCTTTGAGTCAAAAATATATTTTTATTGCGTTAGGGAAAGAACAAAAATATTGAGATCTATCGTGATTTATCTTAAAATATCAGAATATTAATTTAGGTCCATATTGTCTGAGAAAACATGAAGTTAGCTGTTTGAACGTACTTTGAGGCGTTAAAAAATCCAAACGTTGGCGTGTTGTTGGAAGGAGTCGTCGTCTGCAGAGGAGTACGTTCTGCTCGTCGTGTAGTCCGCGGTCAGCCTGGACGGGTCCTCCTACGTACGCCGCGCTCTGCTGTCACGGATGATGCTGAAAACTATTTGACTTCAGCCTTGACTAGATTATCTCAGTAATATTTTAAGGGATCTTAATTCTTTTCAAATGATGGAATAAAATACTGATGATTTTTAAAGATAAAAACACTCAAGTGTGTGATTTGTGGGACGTGTTTGTCCAGCTATGACAAACAGATTTAGTTTTGTTTGTGGATGTAACAGCAACACGAGACGTTCCTCCCCAGCGGTGACAGAGCTGCCTATCTGATCGGTGATGGCGCCGGCGTGGGGAAAGGCCGCACGATCGCAGGGATCATTTACGAGAATTACCTTCTGGGCAGAAAGAGATCTCTTTGGTAAATAACCGGAAGTTCTCTTGGTTTTTCCCACTGGCGTACACGTCTATTCCAACTCTAAAACTTGATTTTAGACATGATTACATGTCATTTTCCTTCCTCTTAGGTTTAGTGTTTCAAATGATTTGAAATATGACGCTGAAAGAGATTTAAGGGACATCGGAGCAAAGAATATTCAAGTTCATTCACTGAACAAGGTAAACCTGGTGTGTACGACGAGACCATTCCGAGTGGTAACTGGCCAAAATAACTCACCTGTTCATTTTTCAGTTTAAATACGGCAAAATCTCCTCGAAGCACAACGGCAGCGTGAAGAAAGGCGTAATCTTCGCCACATACTCGTCTTTGATAGGAGAGAGCCAGTCCGGAGGAAAATACAAGACCAGGTTCCAGCAGCTCCTCCACTGGTGTGGAGACGACTTCGACGGGGCCGTATCCTTACAGGCAAACTTTCTGACTCGTCACAGTCCATGCTCAAATAGACCTAAACAAGACCAGCATCTAGAGTATGTGTCGACTTTAACTGAATGTCCAGATTGTCTTTGATGAGTGTCACAAAGCCAAAAACGTGTGTCCCATCGGCTCGTCCAAGCCCACAAAAACTGGGCTTGCAGTGTTGGAGCTGCAGAACAAACTCCCCAAAGCGCGGGTTGTGTACGCCAGCGCCACAGGTCAGTCGGAGCTTAAACAACGTGGATCAGAATCTGCAAACGGGTTCAAATGTGCTTATTTTAATTTGATGTAACATGTAGGTGCCTCTGAGCCACGAAACATGGCCTACATGAACCGGCTGGGCATCTGGGGCCATAAAACACCTTTCAGAGAGTTTGGAAATTTTATTCAAGCTGTGGAGCGAAGGTAAGTTTTACTTTTTTATTTGTCGAGTTGAATTACGGTACCTTTTTAAACGTGTGGACCTGCGCGTTGGGCTGATTTCAGAGGCGTTGGGGCCATGGAGATCGTAGCTATGGACATGAAGCTCCGGGGCATGTACATTGCAAGACAGCTGAGTTTCACCGGAGTGACGTTCAAGATCGAGGAGGTTCCCTTAACTCAGCAGTACATCACCATGTACAACAAGTCTGTGAAGCTGGTAAACACTCGCCTTTTCAGCACTTGGCTTTAGTTCCTGACGGTTAATGAGCTGACTCCACGGTTCCCTTGTAGTGGGTGACTGCACGGGAGAAGTTCCAGCAGGCTGCAAACCTCATGGAAGCAGAGCAACGCATGAAGAAGTCCATGTGGGGTCAGTTCTGGTCTGCCCATCAGAGGTTCTTTAAATACCTCTGCATTGCCTCTAAAGTCCGCCGGGTGGTCCAGCTCGCCAGAGAGGAGGTCCAGAACGGAAAGGTAAAACATTTAGCGTGTAAACATTTCAAATCAACAATCGGTGGTACTGTGAACTTCTGGTTTTGGCTCTCGTGTCGAGGTTCAGACGCCTCTGGCCTTCAGGTCGCCCCGCTGTTGGCATGAAGCTGCACAGGGAGAGTCAAGACGTCCGAGTTTTAAACCCTCGTTTCTAAACGTTCATTCACTCTGCAAACCAAAAACTTCAGGCGAGGGAACAGTTTCCTGTTGTGATGAACCGCAGCAGCTGCTGCGACACGTCTCATGAGATCTCCAGTGTTTCTCCTAGACAACTTGGCATGGTGGGGCGCTCGTCTCGACCGTGATTTGTGTCGGGGGGGGGGGGGAGACGCAGAGCCACGTGTGAGCTGCGCACCATTTGTACCGACAGTTTGGTTCCAGCATGAGGGTTCAGCGTTAGCGCTGCCTTTAGCTTTTTAGCTAGCATGGCTGTATTGCACGCTGCTAGCTTAGCGCTACCTCAGTGCAGACAGTTGGGTGGGGGTGGGGGAGCATCGGTTCTGTTGACGGGGCGCCCCGCCTGTATAATAGTAGGGAACTCTGGATCTCCCTTCATTTATCTTCACACCAAGATTGAACAAAGTTTGATTCATGAGAAACCGTTTTATTTGGGCGGGGCCTATTCGTGGAGGGGGGGGCTTTACCTGAAGCTCAGATCATGACTGCAGATCGTCGCTCATCTGTAATGACCTTGATGCTCTGAGTCCTGGTTTTCAAGGACTGAATCTGGTCCCAAACTTTTACAGGGAAATCTAAAAAAGTTAAGTCGGGTCCTCTGGACGTTCAAGAAACAAAACGAGTTGTAGAACCGTTTCGTCTTTCATCCGAAAGCCTTCTACTTTTATATCCACAGCCTAAAGGTCAAGGTCAGATAATAAACAAGGTCTCTGCTTGTCAGAGCTTGGACATCTGTTTGTTGAGGAGCAGATAATGTGGCACGTGCGCTCTTCATATAATTGTGTTCTCGACCGGCCTCTGGTCGTGGTGCGTGAGGTTGAACGTGTTCGGCGCTGGTGTCACCACAGCAGTGGTTGTATTCTCAGAGTGTTCGTTGCTGAGCAGCCTCTTCCTGTCCAGTGTGTGGTGATAGGGCTTCAGTCCACCGGTGAAGCGAGAACACTGGAGGCCTTGGAGGAAGGAGGAGGAGAACTCAACGATTTTGTATCAACAGCAAAGTATGCATCGACTAAAAACAATGTTTTTCCTCCTAAAATGTAAATGTGGTTGTAAATATTTCGTGTGCGTTGTCGTTCCAGAGGTGTGCTACAGTCCCTGATCGAGAAGCATTTTCCTGCTCCGGACAGACAAAAACTTTACAGCTTGCTGGGGATTGACCTTTCAGCCAAGAAGACGCAGTCCCTCAAAGACGCTGCCCCAGAGCCGGAGCAGAAAGGGAAGAAAAGGAAAGGTACCGTACTCTCGGGTCTATAAGCCGCCACTTTGTTCACAGACTTGGAGCACCGTGGCAGCTTCTACAACGCTGCGGCTAATTTATCAAGCTTTGTTTTATTTGGTGCTAACGAGCTTCATGCTGCCAAAAACATTTATCCTCATCACACCCGGGCGCTCACAGAGCTGTCTGATACACTTTTGGGGGCCGGGGGATCCTCATGACTCAGTGAGACTACCTCATTGGTTCATTGTGATTGACTGCTGGTCACATGACCTCAGGGAGGGATTATGGGTAAAATTTATGTTGATTGTTAATCATTTCAGTTACCTGTTTATCATTGTTCTTTTAGTGATTAATCTGTTGTTGTTAGTTTGTGTTCGACTGGGGCTGGGCGATATGGACCTAAATTAATATCGATATTTTAAGATAAATGGCGATATATGATATATATCTTGATATATTTTTCTTTCCATAAAGTTGTAACAAAAATATATTTCTGAGTCGAAGCTTTGTCCCAGTTGTCACACAGCTTAACAATAAATAATAATAAATGTCTCAAAAATAAAATGTTTTTCCTGCATAACAAAAACCAAAAGCACATCTTGTGCACTTAAAATTTAAACAGAACGCATACAGAGCAACCATAATGAAAGGCTGACTGCTCTTTAAAAGTCTAATGAAGTACATTCATCCAACCTTTATTCACCTTTATTAAGAAAGCGGTTTGAAAGCCCACATTGTTGTGTAGTTGGCTTCTTTACGGAGCTCAGTTCTGATTTTCTCACCTGATGGGAACCGAGGGGCCTCGTCTGTGAATTAGAGGAACAGAGACCTTAAGAAACCCCTACTGTTAAGGTGGTGAGGTGTGATGTCAATCTACATGTGTGTGTATCTTTTTCCATTCATTCAACCTTTATTTCTACAGGTAAATCCCACTGAGCCTCGAGGACTCATTTACAAGATGATCTTATCTCACTCAGCCTTATAACCTGTATCTCTCACTCTCTGCTCTTTGAACTGAGAAAGTTCCTCGGATGAGGAGAGAAACGTCTTCTGTCACAAATAAAGTCCAGTTGTTTTTGTACTGAACACTTTTAAATCGGTTCTGTTTGATTACGGCTCGTTTCTTTCTGAATTTAAAAGTTTCTATGCTCTTGAATGCACCGCTCTGTGTAAACAAAGTTTCCATCTGCGTGTCAAAGTTTTTTCCTCTCCCGGCACAAGACGGAGCCTTGCAGCTTTGTTGAAGCAGCCACCGAGAGGATAAGGCTCAAGTGAAAGTAAAAGTCTGGTTTGAAACTGCTGTATAACACGTCGTCCTGTGTTTGTGTTGCTGCCAGGTCCGGACTTGAAGAAGCAGCAGAATAAAAGGCCGCGCAAACATGGCGGCCTGTCAGGCACGAGTTCGGAGAGCGAGTCGGATGAATCTGACAAAGAATCCGGTAAAGACAGCGACGACAGCTTCAAATCTGTCAGCTCAGCGGACGAAGACGACGATTTTAACCCGTTCAGAGACGAGTCTGACGACGACGAGGAAGACGGTGAGTTTACTGACGGGACTCCGAACGTGGGACTGAAACCTGTAACTTACAGAAACTGTTGTTCTTTAGATCCGTGGCTCATCAGGAAGGAACCCAAGAAAAGGAAGGAGAAAAACAAAAAGAAGAAGAGGAAAAGCATCGATCCAGATTCCATCCAGAGTGCCCTGTTGGCCTCCGGACTGGGCTCCATCAGACCCGGTTTTACCACCTCGGTGACCCCCAGCACGCCAGCCCCCGGTGAGCACGCTGCGTCACGCTCCCAAGTCGACATATCATTCCCCGAGTCAGGCCTGTGAGGGTTAATCAGTGATTTATTTGTGTTGATAAGTCAAGACAGAGACTCAGGAGAGCTTTCTGACGAGTCAGGACTCGGTGGAACTCGCCCAGAAAATGAAGAAGGAGCTGCTGGAGCAACTGGAAGAACTGTCTGAGGATCTGCCTCCCAACACGCTCGATGAGTTGATCGATGAACTGGGGGGGCCGGAAAACGTGGCTGAGGTAACCACTGCACGTCTCTGCCCTCGAATGTTTTTATTAGACGGCTGACTGGGATCTGACTGGGATCTGACTGGTCAACGGTTGTTTCAGATGACTGGACGTAAAGGTCGAGTGGTCAGCAACGACGACGGCAGCATCACGTATGAAACTCGCTCCGAGCTGGACGTTCCGGTGGAAATCCTTAACCTCACAGAAAAGCAGCGCTTCATGGATGGAGAAAAGGTATTCGTCACAGGTGGAGCTGAACCGGCTGCTCTTCAAGCTTTGAAACGTCGTCTGGCAACGTTTGCTCACGGTTTTTTACAGTCTGCCGGGAACGTTTGTTCTCCAGCAGGGAGACACCGGCTTCACAAAGGAGGCTCCAAAAGATCTTGATATTCATGGGGGTCCTCAGTCTCTGTCCTCTGACCCCCCAGGGGCTAATCTACAGGAACAAAGCTCCGTTTATATGGACATGTAAAGAGTTTATATGGTGTCTAGGTCCAGCAGTCACTGCCAGTCCATCACAGAGACACCTGGACACGTCTCCAGTCCATCACACAGACACCTGGACACGTCTCCAGTCCATCACAGAGACACCTGGACACGTCTCCAGTCCATCACACAGACACCTGGACACGTCTCCAGTCCATCACACAGACACCTGGACACGTCTCCAGTCCATCACACAGACACCTGGGGATAATTTTGTTTTAAAAAGTTTCTTTGTTCGTCAGCAGAAACTCCGACAGAAACTCGTCGAACTTGTTTTGTTTGTGGAGAAACTTTTCTTGAGACCTCCTGGTTCAGCTGCGACTTCGGGTCTTAACGACTTTTAGCTCAGATTAGCGTCCCTGGGTTGTCATGGTAACCAAGTAACTGGCTGTATGGTTGTTAATTTACAACTTCTGCGGTGATTTGAAGTTGATGTTGGTGAAGATTTCACATGACTAATGTTTGAAAATAGTTTTGTTTGTAATTCCTCCAGAACATCGCCATCATCTCAGAAGCTGCCAGCTCAGGAATCTCCCTGCAGGCCGATCGGCGAGTGCAGAACCAGCGGAGGAGAGTTCACATGACTCTGGAGCTGCCGTGGAGCGCCGACAGAGCTATTCAGCAGTTTGGTCAGTAGAAGATGAGCACCCTTTGGATGCATCTTCACCATGAACTTATGTTGCTTTACTTTTTCAATACGGTTAACTACAAACAGAAGCTCTCCGTTTCAAACGAAATGCTGTCGGGTCCATCTGCAAAAATACTTTCATCTATTCTTTTCTAAAACCACGTGCACGGTAGGGTTGGTCCATAGATGAAACCTTTATCCCCCATCGTCCAACAGTCGACTAGATCTTATGTTTAAAAATCTTATTATTTAATTCATAAGGGGGCGGAGCAGCAATCGTAGTTCTCATTAAAGCAGCGGTGAGACCAAACCCATCAAATCCACACGTTGTTCTGTGAGGAGAAACTTCTGCGAAGCGTCTTTACGCTCAAAACGTCAGAATATCGTGGAAAAGGTCCTTTTTTGTGTCAGTTGCTTCAAGTGAAACTCGTCAATCGCGCAGCTTCGTTACGCCGAGTGAAACATTTCAAGCCTTTATTAAGTTTGATGATTATGACTTGCAGACAATAAGAAGTCAAAACTCAGTTGTTTTTACAAAAAAATGGAACTTATTTACAATTTTTTTTAAATACACCTGTATTTTATTTTGTTTCTATTTATTTATTTTGTAAAAATTGTCTGATTGTCTTGTTAATTTTATTTAAAAATCGTTGTTTATTTTTAAAAAATCTTTTTTTTTTTTTTTGTTTTTCTTTTCTGTGCTTGAATTAACCGCAATTTTTACAGAATTGTAGTTTATCATAAAATAATTTCGAGTACAGCTGATATTTTATGTCGATATCGTCTTTTGGGGACATATTAGTTATTTTTTATTTTATTTTTTTATTTACGCTTTATTTATCCAGGTAGTCTTATTGAGTCACAAGAACTTGTTTTCAAGAGAGACCTGTTTGGGAGCAGATGGGGGTGGAGGGGTTTAAGGGCCTTGCTCAAGGGCCCAGAGTGTGGCATATGAGGGTGGAGGCAGATGTGCTTCACCTTTCCCACCCACATTTTTATGTTGTCAGTCTGGGGAGTCAAACCAATGACCTTCTGATAACACGCCCACCTTCTCAAACCTCTGCACCACCACTCCCCCAGGGTGAATTGACCCATTATGTGCTGATATAAGAACGTCTAAATTTCACCCCTAAAATTTTGGAACCAGCTGTAATTATACAAAGTAACCAGCAGAGGGCGCATCAAGACAACTTTCAAGTCATGGCTGTTCACTTAAGTTTCACTTTCAGCGCAGCGGAAGCAGCGAGAAACTAAATACTGTGTAGCATATTTTACTGAACAGAGCATGGTGAGTTTATTTTAACTGATCTGTAAAATCAAACAAATCAACAATAATAAATTCTCTTCAATCCTCCAACCCGCTTGTCATTAGCATTAGCTACGTGCCTCTCAAGTTAACAAGCTAACATTTAGATAATCTAAACAAAATTTATTTTTTTCAGTGTAAAGAGCAAAAACACACTTGCCTGTTGCACAGATATAAAAAATCTGTTCTGCATGCAGTCTGCAGAATCTAATGACTAATGGACTTTTCCCAAAGCAGTACTTGAATAGTGGACGACTGCAGCAGCTGGTAGTATGTCCTGGTCAGTAACAGCAGAAAACAACGCCGAAGCATCCGTTGTACACAAACAGGGTTTCAGAAGAAAAAAAAAGTATTAAAATAGACGTCTATGTCCGACCATTAAGCAGCTAAGTTGATGTGTGTCCCAGTAAACTTTAAGAAGCTCCCAAACGTAAAACCAAAGTATCACCAAGTGAGCTAATATAAAACTCAAAGTGTAGAGATGGAGGTTAAAAAGAAAATCCTGAAAATGCATTATGATGCGACACTTGTGGGATCGAACTTTGCATTTATGGTCAGTTTCCCCCTAAGGAACACGACAGAGTACTGAGGTTACAGGAACCGTCTGAAAACATTCTGACACAATGGTTTTTTTAAGATTTTTAAGCTTTGTAATGAACCATCGTGTTTACTGATCGTACCAGAAATTAACAAATAAATAAAAACAAGACAAAAATAATGCATGGCTGATAATTGAAGTAGGGAAACTCAACGGTCACAGCCGTGCACACAACAGGTGATGATTTCCAAAGGTGGTCTGCGTAGAATGCAGCCACGTGGCAACACGTTGTTGTGACGAGTCGTCGTGGTGACGAGTCGTCGTGGTGACGAGTCGTCGTGGTGACGAGTCGTCGTGGTGACGAGTCGTCGTGGTGACGAGTCGTCGTTGTGACGAGTCGTCGTGGTGACGAGTCGTCGTGGTGACGAGTCGTCGTGGTGACGAGTCATTGTTGTGCTGCAGGGAGAACGCACCGGTCAAACCAGGTCACAGCTCCAGAATATGTTTTCCTCATATCCAAGCTTGCAGGAGAGCAGAGGTTTGCATCGATTGTCGCCAAACGACTAGAAAGTCTGGTAGGTACCACGTGGAGATGAATGACTGTTCTGGAGAAAAGTACTCTTCTTCTCAACACTTGATGCGTTTTTGTTTCCAACAGGGAGCTCTCACTCATGGAGACAGACGGGCCACAGAAACTCGAGACCTCAGCAGGTTCAACTTCGACAACAAAGTGTGTGTTTGTAGGAAACGGGTCTTTGTTTTCTTCCTTGCCCACAATCATTCATGTTCCGTTCTCTGTGCAGTACGGCAGAAACGCTCTGGAGATCGTCATGAAGTCGATCGTAAAGCTCGACTGTCCTTTAGTGTCTCCACCTTCGGACTTTAAAGGGGATTTTTTCAAAGGTACGATTCATACCCGTGTCCTGATGGATTAAAATCTTCTAGATTTGAGTCGAAGTCCTTTTCTTAAAGCAGCTGTTTGTTCTGCAGAGATTCAGGGCGGGTTGATAGGCGTGGGTCTCATCAACGTGGAGGACCGCTCCGGGGTGCTGTCTCTGGACAAAGGTGACGCTGGAGCAGTTTCCCCTGACCGGACAGGTGACCCTGTGGAAACGTGTCATCAACTTTACTTTGCCGTTGCAGACTACAACAACATGGGGAAGTTCCTGAACCGTATTCTGGGCATGGAGGTCCACCAGCAGAACGCCTTGTTTCAGTACTTTTCTGACACGCTGGCTGCCGTCATCCAGGAGGCCAAGAAGAACGGCCGATACGACATGGGCATCCTGGGTGAGCCGGCGTCCTATTACTGGTTGCTGTGTCAACCTCACGTTAATTAAACATTAAAACGACTCCTCGTCTTCGATTAGACCTGGGGTCCGGTGATGAGAAGGTGAAGAAGCTTGACTGTAGAAAGTTCCTGACGCCGGGGTACACCGCGTCAGGACACGTGGAACTCTACACCGTGAGTCCACACGTGTTTCTGCACCTCGTTAAAGTTTACTGCAGAATCTTGGTGTGACGCTCTGATTGTTGCAGGTCGGTGTGGAGAGAGGAATGTCTTGGGAAGAAGCCACTCATGCCTGGGCCGAACAGAACGGACCGGACGACGGCTTCTATGTGCAGGTCGGAACCGAGATTCAGAACGTCCTTCGTAACGTTGGACATTAAGCTGCGACACATTCAAGTGATCTTTTTACCACACAAGAATTTAGAAGCTGAAGCAGCAACGCCTGAAGTTTAAAGGGCCACCAACACCGTGCACATCATCACCGTGCACAGTTCAGCCACCAGGCCCTCGAAGAGTTTCTCCTGAGCTTAGATGATGGCAGATGATTCTCGTTTCCTTTCTTCTCACTCGTGCATTAAAGGATCTGACTACCTGCACATTTAACAAGTTATTTCTCTAACAGCTGTTTGTGACACGTGAAAACTTTAAAAGTTGTGCGTTACGTTCATGGCCCGTTGTTCAGCAGCACCGTGGTGACGTGTGTAAAATATTCCCACCAGCTGCACATCTACCAGGCTCTGACTTCACTTTGTGATGAACTTTCAGCTGAGGAACAACAAGAAGACGTCCATCCTGATCAAAGAGGTGAACACCAAGAAGAGGCTGTTCCTGGTCTACAGGCCCAACACGGGCCGGCAGCTCAAACTGGAGACGTACGCAGACATCAAGAAGAAGTTTAAAAAGGTGCTTGGTCTTTTTGTTTTTAGAACAGCTCGGAGGGTTTATGAGCTGATTCATTGGTTTCCTTCTTTCAGGTGTTGTCAGAAGATGCAAAGCAGCACTGGACTGACCAGTACCAGTCTTCAGGGAAAATCTGCTCTCATGCATACTGGTGTGTGCACGTCTCACACGAACATTTATTATTCTGCTTCCTGAGAAGCTTCAGTGGCGCAGAAGTTGATGCAACGTCTCGTCGCTCTGCTAAACGTAGACAGAACAATAAACTCGTGACGAGAACAAACGTTTTGGTCCAACTTTGAGGACTGTCAGCGGCTGCAGCCCCCAATCTGAGCTGTGTCTGTAGACCCCCCCCCCACCTGCGCTGGCCTACGGGACCGGCCGGCGGAAGGGCGGAGTGTAGATCCCGGTGGTCGCCGTCACGTAACACACATAGGCCGCCTGCACA